TGTATTCATCACAAAACTATTCATTTGCAAATCTGTCTTATACATATAAGTTCGAGGCATATAATTTATATTCTCTGTAGGCATACTTGCTAAGAATATAAATTCAATAACTCCCTGTAATAATTTCAAGCCCTTGCCTACCTCCCACATGGTTTACTGTTAAGGACTATTAGTTGGATCTTTTATTTTACGGGAAAGAGAAACTGAGGGCAGGGCAGGAACTTTATTAGGGTCACCTAAAAAATTGACAGCACAGCGAGAACTGAGACCCAGGGCCTGGGATTCCCAGCCCAGGTCAGCATGCAGCTTGGGCCAGCGCCCTAGCTTCATGTCCTTTTGGTATCAATGGGGACAGCAGAGGATGCTGTGGTAGGTACCAGAGTAAATCTAGATTCTCATGGTGCCAGCCTCTAGGGAAACCAGTCCCCTGGCTACACCAGCTGCTGGGCATTCCAGGATCCTGGCACCCTGCCAAGGGTGAAAACAGAGCTGCAGGCTCCTGGGCTGCATTCTGCCCCCTCCTTTTGGGTTTGCAGTTCACTGCTGGGTTTGCAACAAGCCTAATCTCTGCATGTGCAGACTCAGAGGAGCCAGCTGAGAGGGAGAATTGCCAGCAGCTTGGAATCCTCCATGAGGCCTGCCGACCACTCTTCCCCAAGAGTGGGAGGTAGAACCAGGGCAGTCTTCAGAAAAGGCCACGGGGGCTTTACCTGGCCTAGCTTTAGAATGCATGCTGAGATGGACTCAGTGAAGGACACCAGCCCATGTTCTCCCTCTCTGCCTCCCCAGTGGAAGTTCATTTGGTCCCGCCACATCCCATCTTCTCCCTCCTGCCCCTGTGGCCTTTATTACAAGCACAGAAAGTCCGTCTGTTTCAAAGTAGAGATGTCTATGGACCACCTGAGAGTTGGAATGCACAAGTCCTCTGAGGCTTGATCCTGGTTCTCCAGGCAACCAGCTCCAAGGGTAGAGAGAAATTATTTGTGCATATAGTCAACAAATAGGTGTCAGATATGTCTCCCTTTATGCTTTGGTTGCCAGGAGGCTCAGAATTGAATGAAGAACTCAATCACTAACCCTCTTACAACAGATTCCTGGCATAATCCGCACCCTTCTTTCTCCATGAGGCCTCTGACGCTATCTCTGGTTGTTATCTTAACTGTCTTGTTTAGTATGTGTTTGTTTTATAAAGCATTGCAAATCTTTTGTGTGGTGAAGGTGGGATGTGAGAGCTAGGACATAAAAGCAAATGGCCCATAGATGTCTCTACTTTGAGATACAAAGTAATGTTCTGCCCATAGGGGGTGATTTGCTGGGAATAATTTAAGACTTAGGAAAACGTTTTTATGCCTTGGTCCTGCTCTTTAAATCTCCCTTCCCCTCTCCATCTTCTCTTTTCTTCTTCCTCTCCCCTCCTCTCCCTCTCTTACCCTCCATCCTTTATTCTCTTACCTATTCTCCCTCCAAACCCCTCCTCATTTATTCCTAATGGGGACCACCTCCGCCTGGCAAGTATGAGTATTTCCATTTTGCCAAAGAAGACACTAAGGCCCTGGAGCGTAAGTGACGTGCCATGGCCGCACAGCTTATCCCCCTCAACTGATTGTCAGAATCAGGCACTGAGTCTCATGAGTCTAATTCTATCCTACTCCCCAGTGCGCCTCCACACCCTTCGGTGCCCACCCTGCCAGCATCTCTTACCACCTGCTCTGCCCCACAGAGATTCCTGGAAGAGAGGTCCATAGGAAATCAAACCCCCACCCTGTTTTTCCTGCCGAGGTCTCTTTCAGAGTTGGGATTCCCAGTGGGACCAGTAGGATGTATCAGAGGGGCCAGTGAGATATGAAGGGGGACATTTGGGGAACATTTACTGAGAATACGCTGTGTGCTGGACAAGGCAGAAAGTCAGCCAAGCAAGGTTCTCAGGTGCAAAACTGAAAGAGGTCCTCACTCTTAGGTGCCAGGCCCGCAAGCGTATGACCCTGAGAGTGAAATCCTCCTGGTGCCTGGCCTGTCTTTCCCTAGTCTTGGCCCTGGTGCCAGGGACTGTTACAGGTACTGGCAGCTCAATGGTGGCCTGCACCCTGCCCTCGGGGAGCTTACAGTCTATTAAGGGAAACAGATATTAATCAAGTAATCCTGCTAACAAAAGACAGTTCTACGTGTGACCACTGCCATGGAGTGTGACATGGGGCTAGGAGAGGGTGTTTTTGGTGGCAGTTGGAGGGGGGCAGTGAGGTCTGAAGGCTGGGTAGGAGTTCCCAGGTGTTCTGCAGGTGAGGACACAGCACTTTCACAGGCCCTGTGGCCGGATGGAGAATGGCATACAGGTGGGGCCTGTGGAGGGCAGAGGGGCCAGAGTAAGGGAGCCCCATGCAAAGCAGTCCTCAGTAGTCCATTCCAATAAAGCGTGAGTTTCCAAATGACTGACTTAAAAAAAATAAATCCAAGCCAATGGGGAGAATTCAAAGCTACCCCTTAATGATGTCACTAGCGCTCATCTTCCTGATCAGCATTCTTTAGTGGGATGTGCAGAGACTGTGCCTGGCCCCTCCACACTCATCTGTGTCCATGGAATACAGCTATGTCTGTGATAGAATCTATTATTAGCCACATTTTCTAGATGAAGAAATGAGAACACAGAGAAGTTAGATAACCTGCTGTATTAGTCATCTCAGGCTGCCATGACAAAATACCGTAGACGGGGGCGCTTAAAAAACAGCCATCTATTTTTCACGGTTTTAGCGCTTGGGGAGTCCAAGATCAGAATGCCAACCTATTGGTTCCCGGTGGTGGCACTCCGCCTTGTGGATGGCTGCCTTCCGGATGTAACCTCATGGTGGAGAGGGCCCTGGTGTCTCTTCCTCTCCTTATAAAGACACCTAACCCTTATAGCCTCAGTTAATCTTGATCACCTCCTCACAGCCCCATCTGCAAATACAAATGCATTGGGGCTGAGGGCTTCAACAAATGAAGGGGAGCAGGGCCCATAACACCTGCCCAGGGTCATACCACCCATCAGTGGGATTTGAACTCAGGAAGTGCCTATCCAGTGCCCAGGCACCTAACCACTGAGGCTCTGCCCCAGGATGTATGGTGGGGGGTACTGCCCATGCCAATGAGAGCTCCTTAGGGCAGCGGTGTTCAGGGATCCTTTCACAAATCCATAGGGCGTTGCTCCCACCTGACTGCTGGACTTGTGAGCTGAGGCCTGAACCCACTTAAGGGTGATCCCAGCGATTGTTCCAAAAAAGGACTGGGCTGAGGATACTGCATGGCAAAGCCAACCTGAAACACTTGAATCCGGGGGTTCATCCAGTTTCCGGTTTACTGAGCAGCCACTGGGAACGGTCTGCATGACCTTGGGCAAGTCGCTTGACATCGTTCAGGCCCCAAGTCCTGCGCCCTCACAGGTGGCGAGGGGCCATCCCACAGGCTGTGAGGTCCACCGAGCACCCAGCGGGGATCCCCTGGCATAACACATCCAGGAGGTAGGAGAACGGCAGGCGGCCCTGGTCTTGCCCTGGGCGGTGCAGGTGCGGCCGCGGCTGAGCGAGCGGGTGTCCGGTGTTTGCACCAGTGGCAGCGCAGGCCCCGTTGTCGCTGCCAAGCCGAGGCAGCTCGGAGGCTGGGGACGCCATAGGCCGCCCGCTGCGACACCACGGGGCCCGGCGCTGTCGCCCAGCCCAGGCGCCCCCGGGCCCAGTGCGCGTCGGGCCCCATGGGAGGCCCTGGAATGCGTCCACTGGCCGGCCTGGAGCGGCCCCCCGTGGCACCCCCTCCCGCCGCCCCGCCCGGGCGCCCGCGTCCTCCCGCTCCCCGCGCGCCCCCCTCCCGGCCGCCAGCCAACTGCGTGCCCCCGGGGCCGGCAAGAAGCCACATGCCCCCGCAAGGAATGCCGGGCCCCCGGCGGGCGGGGGGCGGGCGCTGGGCAGGGCTGGGCCAGGCCGGGCAGGGAGCTCCCCGCCGGGAAGGCTGGCGAGAGGGGGAGAGCCAGCCCGCGCAGCTCTGGGCCCTGGCCGCAGCGCACACCGTCCCGCGACGGGGCGGCCACCGGGCAGGGGGCGGCGCGGCCCAGACCTGGCGGCCTCCGCTTCCCCTAAGCGCGCCCCCGGCCCGCCGGCTCGGAGGAGGGGGCAGGCCGTCACGTTTCCCCACACCCCTCCCAGTCGCCGCTGCCGGCTTTGGGGCCCCGGTGGGGAGCAGGGGGCTGATTAGCCGAGGAGCAGGGGTGTGGCCAGCGGGGCCCCGGGTAGTGAGTCACACAGGCCGCTCGCCCAGTCCCGGGGCCCAGCAAGGTCCCAGCCCCAGCTGCGTGCCACCCTGGCCCCGAAGAGTGTCCCCGGGCTTGGCATGAGGACCCCGGGGTGCCGAGGGAGGGGCTGAAGCCCAGCGTGGTGGTGGAGGGCGGTAAGCAGCGGGCTGGGGAGTGTCCCCTAGAAAGAGTGGGGTGGGGCTTGGAGCCCTGGCTGGCCGCGCCAGCACCCCCAGGCCCTACCTGTACCTGCTCTGAGCTGGCAGAGGGGCCTGGCTGTGCTCCCGGCAGTCCCAGGGTGAGGGGCTGCCCTGCCAGGCGTTGAGGGTCCAATTGGTCCACCCACTACCCCTTGGTCCCAGTTGGGCTTGAGTTGTCCCCCCTCCCTTCCTCTTTGCAGTTCTGTGTCCAGGCTCATGTGGGATCCTCCTGCCCCTTGCCCTTTGGTCTGGGGGTCCAGGCTGTACTTCCCAGCATGGCCTGCTGGCCTGAGCTGCCCTAGGCCTCTGACCCATGGGGCTGGTGGCTCCAGTCGTCCCCAGGACCAGCCCCGCGTAGAAATGGCATTTCCTCTTGGCCCGGCTACAGCTGTTTTTGTTGTCTGTGTTCTCAAGCGCTTCCTCTGGGGATGGCAGGGAGGGTAACTAGACTCCGCGAGACCCCCACTTGCCCTCTCCGCCACTCATCCCTCTTCCCCTGTTTCTTTGATCTTCTTCCTGTGCTGGTCCCACCTCCTGCGACCCAGGACAGAATGACCGAGAACATGAAGGAGTGCTTGGCCCAGACCAAGGCAGCTGTGGGGGATATGGTGACGGTAGTGAAGACAGAGGTCTGCTCACCACTCCGTGACCAGGAGTATGGCCAGCCCTGGTGAGGCCCCTGTGTGGGAACTGGAGAGGGAGAAGAGGGAGTGGGGGGTGCCTGGGCTGGGTTGGTTGGGAACCCTGGGAAACATTCTCACTCCTTGCCCACCTTCCCTAACCCTGCTCCCGGCAGCTCTTGGGCGCAGGCTCTAGAAAAACCCAAGCAGTGGCCTAGGGAGGTGTGTGCGCCCATCTCAATCTTCCAGTTTTTCCACCACCTCCTGGACTGAACAGCAGGCTGGCTGGTACTCCTATGCCCACCCCACATCTTCTTGGCCTCCTGGCCAGGTCCCCAGCTTTTGTCCCCACTGAGGTCTCACTCTCTGATGGCTTCTTTGCTTTCTTTGTGGGCCTCTGTCCTGGCCAGCTCTAGGAGACCAGACTCCTCTGCCATGGAAGTTGAGCCCAGGAAACTGAAGGGGAAGCGTGACCTCATCATGCCCAAAAGCTTTCAGCAAGTGGACTTCTGGTGTAAGTGGAGCTCGGGGCTCTGGGCTGTTCCTCCCTTCACCCCCATTGCCCCGTTCCTGGCTAGGGAATTCACAGAAATGCTACTATGATAGGTCCTCACCTGCGATGTACCCAATCCGGGTCCAGGCCTTGGGTAGTCATCATCATTAGCCACCCAGGTGGCCATTGTTGGCCCCATTTTCCAGATACGACACTGAATCTTGGTGAGGGTTAAGTATCCCGCCTCAGGTCCCGCGGCCCAAGGTAGTACAGTTGTACTTGGACTCCAAAGCCATACTCTTCCTTCTAATTTTTTAAACTTGACACAAAGGGAGCTGATGGCTTCCTTGACATAGGCAGGCCTGTTCTTGGAGCCCCCGGGGAGAGTATAGGTTATTGCTACTGATAACCCTGGGGCCTGCAGCTGGCCTCCACTGGTGGGCCTCCTGTCACCCCATCTGCCTCCCCCATGGGGGTCCTACCGCCCTGCAACAACTGAGACCCTCCCTTCTCCTTCCATCCCTCCAGTCTGCGAGTCCTGCCAGGAGTACTTCGTGGATGAATGCCCGAACCATGGCCCCCCAGTGTTTGTGTCTGACACGCCAGTGCCCGTGGGCATCCCAGACAGGGCGGCACTCACCATCCCACAGGGCATGGAGGTGGTCAAGGACACCAGTGGAGAGAGTGACGTGCGATGTGTAAATGAGGTCATCCCCAAGGGCCACATCTTCGGCCCCTATGAGGGGCAGATCTCCACCCAGGACAAATCGGCTGGCTTCTTCTCCTGGCTGGTGAGTGTGCCTTGGGCTGTTCCGTAGGAGAGGTTGCCAAGGAACGAGGAAGGAAACCAGCAGGGGGAGCCATACTGGCTCAGCCTGGTCCCAGAGCTTTTCTGCCACCGCTTCTGGACCTGTGGTTGATGGATCTTGCTGTCTGTGGCCCCAGCTGAGTGGCCACAATGCTTGGTGTCCAAGGGCAATGCTGAGACCACTACCCACCTGACAGTAGTCAGCAGATCAGGAAATCACCAGGCAGAACTCAGGACAATTTCCCCATGAATCCTCATGTGTGTGTCCTATGGACCATTGGGCGGCGTTGAATCAACTGGTCTTCCAGAGTGGGTGACTCGGAGCTGGCCTGTGGGGATGCAGAACATGACTTCCCACTTCCAAAGTAGTAATACCAGGCTCTGGGCTAGGTGCCCGGAGTAAACCCTCCAACAAGGCAGACATGGTTCCTGCCCTCAGGGAGCAGATGGTCCGGTGGAAAGACAGGCATTGAACAAGCAGGTACGCATGCGATATCAGTTTGTAACACAGCGTACTATTGATCCATGGGGTGCAAAGATGAGGAAGAGGGATTTTCAGAGGTATGAGGAGGAAGGGTTAAAAGCAGGTTTAAGGAGTCAAGCTTCAGCTACTGAGCAGAGATAGGGGAGCATGGGGCAATAGAGAAAAGTGTTCTACAAAAGCACCTCTTGAGCGTCTCCTTTGTGCCAGGCACTGTGCTGGCCCTGGGCATACAGTGGTGGGCCAGATAAGACAATGAGATAAATCCTGCCCTCATGGAGTTCTCTGTGGGGAAGACAGACTTAATCAAAGACTAAGACAAACCCATGTCAAATTATAACTCTGAGGGTGATGGAAACAGCGAGGCTGGGAGAAAGTGCACAAGCAGGGGAGGTGAGATGGGCAGAGTTCGGAGAAGGCTTCCTGCTAGTTGAGCTGTGATTGAAGGAGGTGAATGGCTACTGGGTGAAGATTGGAGAGGGGCCTCCAGAAGCCTGGAACCGCAAGGGCAAAGGCCCTGTGGCAGGAGAGTGTGGCGCATCTGAGCCACTGGATGAAGGTCAGCGTGCCTGGAGGGCAGCACGCACAGGGGCTGGAGGAGAAGATGGAGGCATGATTACGTAGGACCCAGTGGACCAAATTAGGACTTCTGTTCTTTTATTTTATCAGTGTAACGGGAAAGGGGGGAGTGACTCGGTCACATTTATGTTTTGAAAAGGTGACTTTGGCTGCAGCCTGGAGAACCGATTGGGCTTAGGGGCGCTGGTCAGGGATGGGTACCAACACACCTTTCCCAGGTAGAGCATGTGAGAGTTCTCTAAGTCAGCAATGGTGGAAGACTGAGCTAGGGCAGGGACAGAGACATGGAGGCAAGTGAACTGCTTTGTGAACTGTGTCAGAGAGGAGAGCTCTGACTTAGAAATAGACTAACTGGCCTAAGGAAAGGAGCAGGAGGTATCAAGGACATCGCAGTCTCCCAACAGGTCGTTAACCGTGCCTTTCTCTGAGAAATGGAGGAGGCTGGGAGGGGACTGGGTTGAGGGAAAGACCATGATTTGAGTTTTGGACTTGATGAGTTTGGAGTAACACCAGGATATCCAAGTGGTGATGTCAAGTAGGCAGTTGGATATATGGGTCTGAAGCTTGGGGAGGAGGCTCGGAGATGTTGTTAGCGAGTCACCTGTGCATGTGTGGTCAATGGGGCGGGGCTGTGGAGCGCAGAACCTAGGAAGAATGTGCTGAGTGAGAGGTGGACAGGCCTGTGACCAAGCTTTGAGGGACTTTAGCAGTTCATGGTCTAGAAGAGGGGCTTGATCCTGCAAAGGAGACAGAGAAGGCTTCCAGCCAGAGAGGTCGGAGGGGAACCAGGAGAGTGGGTGACCTGGAAGTCAAGGAAGGAGAGGCTCTCGAGGGCCACAATGGCTGTCAGTGCCAAATGCTGCTGAGAAACCAACCAGGAGAGGGACTGAAAAGTGTCCCTTGGAATTACTACTAGGGAAGCCATTGGTGACTTTAGCAAGAAGTAGAAGTCAGTGGGTCTCAACCCGAGGCAATTGTAGAAGTCAGTAGGTCTCAACCTGAGGCAATTTTGCAGCCCTGCCTCATGTCTCCAGACATTGCCCAATGTCACAGCTCAGTAGGGGTAAGCTGCTGGCATCTAGGAGGCAGAAACCAGGATTACTGTAAACATTTTACAATGCACGTAACAAAGAGTTATCTGCAGAAACCCTGCTGGAGGGTGATAGAGGTGGAACCTGATGAGCATGGAGGTGGCCAGGCATGGTCATTTCCTTGAAGTTTGGTTACAGATAAGATCAGAAGAGGGGGAGAAAGATAAGAGTGAAGTGGGTGGTGGTGGGGAGGTTGGGGGGGATTTGGGGGTGTGGGGGTGGTTAACAGAGTCTGTTCATTAGAAAGACTTTAGCATCCTCAAAAAGCCAGCGGGAGGGAGGGGTTCTGCTGAAGTGCTTGAGTGTAGAGTAGAGATAAGACATGCTCCCTAACCTTTTACATCACCTCACAGGGTTCACAGGGAGACACTGAATGAAAAAGGAGGTGGACCAGCCTCTTTTCTGTCCCTACAGGATTAGCCTAGAGGATTAGAACAGATGGAGGTAGTTAGGTATAGCAGGCCACATAGTAGCCCCCGAAAAATGTCCCTGTCCTAATCCCTAGAATTTATCAATATTATCTTCATGGCAGAAGGGAGTTTTTGCAGATGTGATTAAGGATCTGGAGATGGAAGTGAAGATCTTGGATTATCTGGGTGGGCCCAGTGTAATCACAGATGTCTTAATAAGAGGGAGGTGGGAGGTTCAAAGTCAGAGAGAAAGAAATTGGAAGATGCTGCTGTGCTGGCCTTCAACATAGAGGAAGGAGCCAGGAGTAAGGATGCAGGCAGTTTCTGGAAGCCAGAGAAGGCAAAGACATGCATTCATTCCTAGAGCTTCTCGAGGGAATGCGGTCCTGCCAACACCTTGCTTTTAGGACTTCTGACCTCTAGAATTGTCAGGTAATACATGTATGTTATTTTAAGCCGCTGTGGTTTGGGCAGCTTATTACAGGAGCAATAGAAAACTCATACAGAGGATTTTGTGTTGCGGGGGAGGCATCTACTAAAATGGACAGGGAGGGGGAGTGAGGTGGCCTGAAATTGAGGAGATCAGAGAAGGTAAGTTCTGCTTGGGGTGAACAGAGTTTGAGGGGCCCAATAGGTTCAGGGGAGCTGTCTGGAGCACTCTGGTCTGTGTGGCTCTGCAGTAGAGAGGAGATGCCGGGGTGGCTGGAAAAGTAAGTCTATAAATTCATGCAGCTGAAGCCCAGGGGAGGGAGGGCACTGCCTACAGAAAATGCTTGGGGAGGAAAGAAGAGGCCTTTCCTTTGGAATATGAGTTTAAGGAATTCTTGGAGGGAGAGGAGTTGAGAAGGCGTGGAGTGGTAGGAGGAGACAGAAAGAAGTCTCCTTGGCCCTCTTGGCAGGAGCAGTCTCATGGGTGGAAGCCAGATTGCTGCGGATTAAGGTTGACTGGGAGGTGAGGAAAGGGAACCAGCAAGGGTGCATGGCTTGTTTTAAAAGTCTGGTTGCCCACTGAGCAATTATTATATGCCAGGTGCATACTGGACACTGTGTCATCTCATACTTCTCCAAACAGCCCGTAGGGTGGGGGTTGCTGCCCCTCTTGTTCAGATGAGGAAACACAGGACTCCCATAGCTGGTCCACAGTACACCTTGGGCTCCTTCAAAGATAGTGCCCCTCCACCATGCCACCATGTGAGGACTTCCCTTGTTGGAGACATGGCCAGCAGGGTGGAGCATTTAATAATTACCCTGAGCCAGTTTTGGTTATGTGTCCAGATTCAACCCAGCCTCACATACACAGAGCAACTCCAGAGCGCTAGGTCCTGAGCAGGGAGCTCTAGGGATAACAGAAATGCATGAGGTTTGCTCTCTGTTCTTAGGGAGCCTGCGGTTCTTATGGAGCCTGTGGTTCATTGATGAGGAGCACTGGTTCTTATGGAGCCTGTGGTTCTTAGGGAGCCTGTGGTTCACTTATGAGGAGCATAGTGGATAGAAGGGGAGGAAGCTCATTCCCAACCAAGTAATAGAGAGGCAGCATGTTGCTTGGTGATCCGGGGGGGGTTGGTTTCAACAGGCAGATTGGAGATGGATTTTGAAGGACGGATAGAAATTCAACAGAGGAAGCCTGTGGCTTCACAGCCTATTGGAAAATTGCAAGAGAGAAAATCTAGGGCCGTGCCCAGGGAAGGACTATTAGGATCCCCTTCTGCAGCTCCCAGAGTCTGTACCTGGGACAGTCCAGCTGGGGAAAGTTGAGAATCTTTAAAGAAGAGGAACTTGCCCAGGTTGGCTGCCTGGCACGGGTCGATGGTGAGAGGAAAGGAGGAACAGAAGGCCCTGGAATTTGCAACCTGGTTCAAGACTAGCTCTGCTAATGAAGCCCCAGTTCAGGCGGTGGGACTGGTGGCCTGGAGGTTATTCCATCTGAGCTTTCTTCCCAGCACCTTAGCTGCAGGCAGCAGCCAGCAAATGAGTACAGGGAGGGAGTGGCTGGAGGCCGCAAGACCGTATGAGGCTTTGACCTTTGGGAACCCAAGAGGTGAGAGACATTAAAGGTCTAGAGTCACCAGACACTTAAAGTGGCTCAAGAAAAGTATAAGTGTGTGGTGTTGGGCATGGGTGTTTGGGCCTCCACTGGGTAAGAGCAGGCATGAGGTGTAGCTCTGCCTGCTCAGGTGATGAGTGGGCTGAATGATGGAAGAGGATGGGGAAGGTGGGTTGAACAGTGGTGCTGATTTTTGGACCAGGATCTGGAAGCCCCACGTTCTATATAAACTGCCCTTGTTTGTCCAGTCCTGTCCCAAAGCCATCCTGGATATCGTCTTCTTTGGACCTTCTGCCTGCCTGCAAAAGCTCTGCCCCCACTCAGCACAATACGTTTCCTTCCACACTCCCTCAGTATGTGCACTCTACTCTGTAGAAT